TACAAAGATGTTTGCGAAAGTAAAGAATTCCTTACTCATATCAGTGCAGATCAACTATTAAACCTTCTTAGTCGAGATGACCTCAATTCACCCTCTGAAGCTTTCGTCTTCAAATCAGTGATCAAGTGGATCAAATATAAAGGGGAGGAGAGGATGCCAGTTGCTGGAAAAGTTATCGGAGCTGTTCGTCTGGGGCTAGTAGACGTGAAGATTGTGATTGAAGAGTTGAAAACAGAAGAAATGCAGCGAGTTCCCGAGGTGAACATTCATCTGCAACAATCCATGATGCGTCACTGTATACCTTCACACGAATTTGCTGCAGAGAAAATGAAACCAAGATCAATGCGTCCGGTAAAAATTTAATTCAAGTCATCTTATATTTTTCTGTTTATGTAAAAATTACATTTATTTTTCATGGCATACCCCGTTCACTCGACTAAGGAGAGCCCGGTTTCATAGACTCTCTTGACATTCTGACTTAGTCTCATTATTGTTTCCAAATATTTCCGATTGTGTCGGTGAAGAAAATGTGAAATCTTCTCGGCCGTGAGCGTTAATGTGATGTACAAAAGATCTTCCCTTTCCAGCAGAAATTGTTAGGTTACCTTATTCAGAGTTTTAATCGGTTCTTTGAGTTACACTCTCTTTAAACCGGCGATCGGGTAATGCAATTAAGTCGCTCTGCCTACCACGTAAGTCCTGTGGATGGAGACGAAAAATTTCTCATTTAAATTCGTAGCACACTTTCTCCATTGCAAATATTACAACTAAATTTATCCATTTAACGATGATTCTTAACAATGACAGGGCTTTTAAGGTTTGCAATGAACGGCCTTTCCTCTTGTGCATGTATTTTCATGTGCCTCGCCGCTACCATAGTGGTCTGCGATGAATAAATATTACGTGCATCCGTACATTTTCTTCATAGAAAAACCGTTGGGGTCAAACTCTAGACGTTACCGACTAGGATTACTTTAATAAATAACTATGGATTCGAAGTTAACCGATCATGGAGCGATCTTTTGCAATGGAACATTGAAAGTTTAACAATCATATCATTTTGTTCCCAGCTTTAACCAAAGCTTCGTCCAGCATAATGATTTCGGTATCACTTGCGTGCCTCAACGAGGTCATTTTCATTCCGAGTTGTTGTTTTTTTTTTAATTTCAGGTTCTTATGGCCATCCGTCCTAATAAAGATTCAAGGAGCGAAACATTGGAAATGAATCGATGGGCAAGCTTCAGCTCCGAATGCTTGACTTTCCCTTGTCATCAGTCCGATGCTTTGGCTCAATATTTTGATGTTGACACCAAATTGTGGAAGCCTTTGGCATCGGTTGCTCAACTGGGTGAAAGAACTGACGTATATTATTCTGCAGAATTAATTGGAAATTACCTGTATGTAGTATGGAGGTCCATAATAATGAAATATTTTGTATACCGTTATCACGTATTAAATAACACGTGGGAGAAACTTCCAATGTTGAACATATGGGAAAGCGAAAACGAATCGTGCGGCCCGCCTAAAATCTGCTCATGCTCAGTCGGTGGGTATTTGTATGTCATTACTCAATCAAATCCTCCCCAAAGGTACGATTTGAGCAGTAACGTTTGGCAAGCTGGGGAAAAGTTGAATTTTCCCCAGCATGAAGGATTTTTCCATTCCGTTGCGGCGACAGTCATGAATTGTAAAATATATGTAATTCATGGTTGTAAAGGTCGTGAGAATGTCGACAAACCAGCGGTAGTTCATTGTTTTGACCCAGAGAAAAATGAATGGGAACGTAAAGCTTCGACCTGCCATCCTCGTTTTGGGTCTAGTATTTTGGTAGTCAATAACAGACTATGTGTGGCAGGGGGTTCCAAGTCAAGCAGAATTTTTCCAGGGGTCCATCCACCTGTAGAATTGTATGACAAACGTAAGGACACCTGGTCTGTTGTGGAGCAGAAACATATCCCGCAAAACAACTTAGGTGCGTTTGAAATTGAAAGGAGGGTGTTTTTTTTAATTAACAATTTTCCAATTGACAGTGGTATTAGAATTCCTCCGGAGGAAAATTATCCTGTCCACCTAGGTGAATGGGAAAACTTAGCAAAAGTAAGTAAAAACGCAGTCTTGTGTTATTTGCCTGTCAAGAGAGAAAACTTAAGATAAAGAAAGCAGCGACAAATTTAAGGTAAAAATTTCACGCATGTAAAAATCAGTTAATGTACGGAATGATAAAGAAAGAGATCTAGATACTTGTTTCAGTGTAGTTTACTGAAATGTTATGGTACTCAATACTCACCATTAAAATTCACTGTTGTTTCAAAGGAGTGTTAATAGGTCTACAATAAAAATAGTTTATTGTGTAGTTTGTGTACCATATTAGCTGAGAGTATGGTACATGAAAACATAATTTGGCTTTCAATACGATACATGAATTGAGTGAAAATTTTTGGACAGCATTGAGAGAAGTGAGGAGGAGTCATGAAATAAAAGCTGTATGTTATGAGTATGGCTCATCGTAGTGCTGTGGAAAAAAGTATCTCGACTTTCTTGGATAATTTTCTTAAACGCGTACGAAGTATGCAAGTTGAAAACTGGCAAAGGCGAAGGGATCAAAACTTAAAGTGATCTCAGTTTTGCAAAGGCTTATGAGCATGATACTTTAACTCTCTGGTCGATTTCATTGTACCTTGTAATATTTACTAATCGCCTAATAAAGTTGTTGAGTTTATCGATGAAAGGTTTATTTTTCACTAAATAGGTGTTAACAATGAATGATTAACAATGAAAGAGGAACACATAGAAGAGAGAGCTCGCGCTTCAGAGGAGTCGATTCACGTAAATGGCGATTTGATCTTATTGATTTTCCAGGAGTTCTCTTAGCCATAATTGTTCTAAAAAAATCTGAAAAACTGAAAACTCTCTCAGTGTGTTACAATCATCTGTTTTGTTTGCCCAGTCCTACATGTTGAGAATTTCCAAAGCAAAAAGCAGATCTTTTTCCTTTTTTCGAAAAAAGAGACATTGCTCGTTCAAAATTTTAATTTAATTTACTTAATTTCACCATTTGAAAATACCTAATATATCCCTTGTAAAATTCAACCCCTCCCCCTCCCCCTCGTAACTTGAAGGTGTTTGCGTGACCGTTGTAGATATTTGATCACGCAATATATTGTCATTCGCATCGGTCGAAATGGCTGCATTATCTGAGATTCTCCATTGCAAACGCGCTCAATTCAGAGATGAAGGTCAATTAATCGACGTTCTATTAAAAGTCGACGAAGACGTCTTTCCAGTTCATTGTACATTGCTGGCTGCGAGCAGTGATTATTTCTACGCCATGTTTACAAATGGAGTGAAGGAGTTCAACCAGGAAATAATCGAATTGAAAGACGAAAGCATCACGTCAAATGCTTTAAAGATCATCTTAGAATTTTGAGCTCGACAA